GGAGCGCAGCCTGGGCTTCGGGCCTATTTGGGGCGCTCTTAGCTTTCCTCCTCGGAGGAAGACTGATTGGTTGAGGGGGGACTGCAAGGGGGGAATACCCCTCAGGCAACACCCCAAAACCATTATGGGCTAGACCCACTTTTGGTTACGGTCTCAAGCAGACAGGGGGCGAGATCCGTTTGGGCTTGCCCAATTCCGAACACCCTGCCTGCTTGCGATACCGCGCGGCTAGCGGGCGCTGAAGGGGGGAGGGAACCACCGAACTTGAGCGATTCTTCCTTCCCCGTCGACACGTCAGTCAGCTGGAAGATGCTATTCGCCAGCGGAGACAGCAGAGCCGAGAGAAGGCTAAGGATTACATCCTAGCCCTCCAAACGCTGATCCGACAGCACCCAACGATGTGCAGCGACGACCACTTGGAGCGCATCTACGAAGGCTTGCGAGTAGAGTACCGATTATTCATAAAACGGGGCGAGTTCTATACTATCGAAGAATTAATGGAACTCACCGACGAATATGAGCTGCTCAAAAGCGAGGAGGCCAGGTAAGTAGCACACTGCCTATCCACGTCACTCGAACGATACGATGCGAAGAACACCTGCTGGAGGTGCAAAAAGTGCGGGCACCGCCGATTCCAGTGCAGAGGTCCGAGGCGACTATTCTGCTCACGATGCGGACGAGATGGAACCCTCTCCAGGAATGCCCGTGTCACGAGGAGAGGACAGCCATCTTCAAGTCACCCACCGATCAACCAACCACGTCTCAACCAGGCTGGCAAGGCCCCGATGGCCGCTTCTATGCGAATGTCCTGGTCGAAGGCATGAACATCCGAGCCCTAATGGACACTGGAGCCACCTTAACATACATCAACGGATATCTACGCAAGCAATTGGAACAGCGAAATATTCAGCCACATCCTAACAAGCGAAACGTGCAGCTAGCCGACCAAACGTGCATCGCAAGCACCCATTCCTATCCTGTCCAAATTAAATACAACGGCCAAGCAACAAACACACTGGTGGCCGTCATCCCCAATCTGGCTGAAAACATGATATTGGGGATGGATTTCCTGGCGAAGCGTGGCATCGTCGTGTCACTAGACAACTAGCCACTAGCTCCCGCCCCACCGCCGAGACTCGATACTACACACGCGCTATGCAGCCTAATTGAAAGGGCACACTTGAACGAGGAACAAAATAAAACACTAGCCGATTTTTTGAAAACTCACAGAGAGCGATTCTCCAAAATCACCGGGCCCAGCACCGCCGCCGAACACGAGATCACACTCCGGCATCATCGCCCACTAAAACAACGCTATTACCCACGCAACCCTGCCATGCAGCAGGTGATAAACGCCGAGGTAGACGAGCTCCTCGCGGGAGAAAGGATCGAACCATCCAAAAGCGCATACAGCTCCCCCATCGTCTTAGTTCGGAAAAGGCAAGGAAGTTGGCGCATGTGTATCGATTACCGCCAGCTCAATGCCGCCAGCGAACCAGACGCATACCCGTTACCTCAGATTGGAGCAATCTTGGATCAGCTGAAGGAGGCAAAATATATCTCCACGATCGACCTCAAAAATGGGTATTGGCAGATACCTTCAGCCAAGCACTCACGACCATACACCGCCTTCACCGTACCTGGTCGAGGACTTTTCCAATGGAAAGTGATGCCCTTCGGACTACACTCCGCGCCCGCAACGTTTCAACGCGCTCTCGACTCCATTCTCGGACCCGACCTGCAACCTAAAGTATTCGCGTACCTGGATGACATTATCATACTAGGCGATACTTTTTCCGAACACCTGTCGTACCTTCGCGAAGTCTTCGAAAGGCTTCAGAAACATCAAATGCAAATTAATTTCGAAAAATGCAGCATTGTGCAGCAAAAATTGCACTACTTAGGCCACGTCATCAGCTCTGAAGGAATCCACACTGACCCCAGCAAAGTCGCCGCAGTACGTGAGATGCCCGCACCACAAAATATCCGACAACTCCGACGTTTCCTCGGACTCGCCTCGTGGTATCGTCGCTTCGTCGCCGACTTCTCAACGCTCGCCGCTCCCCTCAACCAATTGCTCAAAAAGGGTCAAAGCTGGATGTGGAGCGAGCCGCAAGAACGCGCGTTCGAGGCACTAAAGGACAAACTCACCAGCGCACCAATACTTTGCTGCCCTGACTTCACCCGACCTTTCTTTTTACAAACAGACGCTAGCGGCGAAGGGCTGGGCGTAGTACTATTCCAACGTCACTCGGAACAAGAACGGGTCATAGCATATGCCAGCCGAAGCCTGTCCAACCTGGAAAAACGCTACTCAGCTACCGAACAGGAGTGCCTCGCCGTCCTCTGGGGCATCCGTAAAATGAGGCCATACCTAGAAGGTTATCAATTCACCGTCATCACCGACCACCACTCTCTGAAATGGCTTCACTCCCTACAAAACCATTCCGGGCGACTGGCTAGATGGGCACTCGAACTTCAGCAATTTAACTTTACCATCGAATACCGCAAGGGGGCACTAAATGTAGTCGCCGACGCACTATCTAGATGCCCATTATCAACACCGGGTCCGGAGGAAAACACACTATTTACCGTCAACAGCAGCAACAACGACTGGTACGATCGGAAAGCACGACAGGTGCAACTACAGCCAGACCAGAATCCCGACTACCGACTTTTGGACAACCGATTGTTTCGACACATCGCACCGAGGAACCCCCTCTTACGAGCCCCGCAATGTATCCCCACCAACCGAAAGAGCGACATCCTAAAAGAAGTCCATGATGCCGCCGCCGCAGGACACCTCGGGGTAAAGAAGACACTCAAACGCGCACAAGAGGGTTATTACTGGCCCGGAATGCACCGTGATGTGGGCAACTATGTCCGTAAATGTCTCGCGTGCGCCGCCTATAAGGTAGAGCAACGACGCCCGGCAGGATTAATGGCTACGATGCAATGTTCCCGACCATGGGAGATCATTACAGCTGACTTTGTCGGACCCCTTCCACTTTCGAAGCAAGGTAACACCTGTCTGTTGGTTCTAGTTGATAAATTCTCCAAATGGGTCGAACTGGTCCCTGTCCGCAACGCAACAACTGCCACAGTCATCAAAGCGCTACGGGAGCGAGTCATCTATCGATTTGGCTGCCCCGCCGTTTTCCTCAGCGACAACGGTCGACAGTTCACCGCAACCGCCTTAGCATCGTTTTTGAAAGACCACAATATCGAGCATCGATTCACTGCCGCCTACGCACCTCATGAAAACCCCACAGAGAGAGCCAACCGCGTTATTAAAACAATGATAGCGCAACGTTCACAGCAGGACCATCGGACGTGGGACCAAGAATTACCGGAAATCGCATTTGCCATCAACACCGCCCACCACGAGTCTACGAAGGCATCAGCCGCCGAAATTAACTTCGGATGAAATCTCGTGGCACCCCAACAAGTCAGAACAGAAGGCGCCGTCCCGGAGGAACCGCTAGCTGTTCGTCCCGCGATCACCGAACTATGGAAAGAAATAGCGAAGCACCTCACCACGGCCGCCAACCAACAAAAAAAATATTACGAATTACATCGACGCCCATGGAAACCCAAAATAGGAGACAGGGTGATGAAACGAGACCACCCCCTCTCTTCCGCCGCGGGGCACTTTGCCCAGAAACTTGCACCGAAATTTTCGGGGCCCTACCTGATCACTAATTATGTCTCAACCAACACCGTCAAACTCACGCACGCCGAGCACCCAAATAGGCCACAAGTCCGCGCGCACCTTCAGGACTTAAAACCCCTTCACGACTAATCCGACTCTCCTATGAAGCGCCTCCCCGCAATGCTAATATACCTCTCCTCTGCTTGCAGAATCATACCGAAGTCGTAACCAGAGTAGCGCAGAAGAAAAGAAGAGATATAACAAAACATATCATATAACAGCCGCCGAGAATACCCACAAGCATGTTCAAGGCAGCCGCGTCCAGCCGAAAACGCCGCGGGCGACAGCCGACCCCACCAGATGAACCTCGGCCAGTCTCACCATGGCGACCGCCATTTGAAGCCGTACCATGGCCGCCGAACAAACCACGGATCCTGAGCGTCAGGATATTCCACGGGCCTCCGCACCAACAGCTGTTCGCCATGTCAGAGCGTCCAGCCGACGCGGCGACAACAGCCGCCAACACCACCGAGCCAGCCGCGGCGACCACAAACCCAGCCCGGGAGATCACTCCCGAATCAAGGGTAACCGAAACATCATCCGAAGCGGACCCGGCCACAACAAAAGACGGAACGATCAACAGGGACATTTTCGACCCATGCAAAAAGCTGCGGCTAAGACGACCGAGCACCGCATGCTCGCCACACAGATAGATGCGAACCACGCCATCGTCCGGGCAAAGGGGAGGACCAAGGTGTTTTTTTTTGCTAATTCTTGAATTAACAAAAAAAACCAAAAAAAAACAAAAAAAAAAAACTTTGTACCTATATTATAAGCACATGAATTACAATCTCATATCATTATAAATTAAACTTTGTACCTATATTATAAGCACATGAATGTAGGAATGGCCTTCCCAATCCTTTTAGTCTTTAATTAAAACGCGCATTTAATGTTTACAAAACTGGACGTTTATTCGCACACACACGGTTACATATAAATTTTAACTTTAAATGCTACGACTAGCTTAACAACTTCGCTTGAAGGCGGTCAAGTACAATCTGCCGTATTGCTGTCCTTCGTTTGTCTAGTGAAGTCTATAGTTGAGTATGTTCAGTGTGGTCCGTTCAATCCTTGTGAGTGTTGTATTCGTCGATCAGTCTTAGTACGGGTCCCCACTGTCATACTTGTATGTATGTATGTCGATGGCCGCCTACATCATTTCCCACATTCGGCCATCCTGCGCGATCATTCGGCCTCGGATGATGGATTCCATTTCTTTAGAAATTTGGCTACGGTAATTGTGCGGTCTGACCCTTCGTGGTCGCCGATCTTCTCTGTGGCGTAGCGTCCGTTTCGCATAATCCTCGCAATCCTATATGGTCCGAAGTATTTTGGCTTTAACTTGAGTCTCGATCCGTATTGCGTTCGCTTGATTGCTACTAGCTCGTCCATGGCGTACTCTTTTGCAGTTCGTCGACGTTCGTTAAACGTTCTGCGGTTTTCTTGCTGTATTTCGGCGATTTTGTCGCGTGCTTGGTGGCATACTTCTTCCCTCTCTGCATCAAACTCGTCGATGTGCTCCTTCTGCAGAAGCTCTTGCTCCATAGGTGATACTGAGATTTCATNCCCCTCTCTTCATCAAACTCGTCGATGTGCTCCTTCTGCAGAAGCTCTTGCTCCATAGGTGATACTGAGATTTCATCTGGCTTGTAGGCTGCTGCCGAACTCTGTACCTTGTCCGTTCGCGTCCTGCTTACATGAAATACATCTATCTCGCATTCTTTATTTTGCTTCGTTCCGGCTTCCACGCATACGTTTCCGGACCCTGCTTGCAGCCCGCTGATTTGACTTGAAGGTCTTCCATCGCGAAACNTTCTTCCCTCTCTTCATCAAACTCGTCGATGTGCTCCTTCTGCAGAAGCTCTTGCTCCATAGGTGATACTGAGATTTCATCTGGCTTGTAGGTTGCTGCCGAACTCTGTACCGTGTCTGTTCGCGTCCTGCTTACATGAAATACATCTATCTCGCATTCTTTATTTTGCTTCGTTCCGGCTTCCACGCATACGTTTCCGGACCCTGCTTGCAGCCCGCTGATTTGACTTGAAGGTCTTCCATCGCGAAACCTCGCCCATTCCGCACCTCGTTCGTACACACCTGTCTTGCTGGGATTCGCATGCTCTCGTGGTGATCCTACGATACCACCATGCCTAACACTCGTACCGTGTTCACTGACACAATCTCGCATTTCATCACGTCTACGCTGAACCTCAGTCGCATCTGCCGGTCTAGCACTTATTCTCAACTTCCTCACAATATTCGTTATCAGATTGTAAATATTGTTCAAATCATCGGTGATCGAATTATCAGGATTTGCACTTGCGCAATTTCCACCCCACTGCCTTGCGTTTTGCTGCGCCATCTCCTGAATTCTTTTCGACTCGCCCAACCTCTACGCAATTACCAGCCTTCGCCTTGCGCACAAATGAGCTTTCTCCAACTTGACCAGCATTCGGGGAATTTCCGGCCACTGCCTTCCACGCCGCTGCACCTTCACACGGATCTGCTCCGTCTCGCACCACACTAGCGCAATTATCGGCCACTGCTTTGCGCTCGAGTGCATCCTCGCGTCCACTGAACTTTCTCGCCTTCTCCTTAAAAACGGCACCATCTTCCGTAACGATAAGGTCAACGTGTTTGAGGACATTGTTGCCTATCACCAGCGGGTAGTCCAAATCCCGCTCCCTTGCCACATGTCAAGCGGAATTCCATCTACTTGCATTGGGATGGTAAAACTACCCATTGTCGTTATTGCACTGTTACCGATGCCCACCAGTCGCCGCTTCTCCTTGCTGAGCTCTGCATCCAGCTGCAGCATCAACAAAGTGTCATGACGCATTAGACACAGGTCTGACCCTGTGTCGATAAGTGCCGAAACTGTCTGATTCGAAGTGCTAAAATGGATGTCTTTAAAAATCAGGCCGCTCTGCCTTACCGCCATAATGTTTGCTGGAGCTCTCTCGGGCTTCACTTCATTTCCAGCGCTCTTGCACTCACTCGCTCTATGACCCTCGTTGCCACATTGAANCGTGGGACTGATCACCACAGTTGAAACACCCTTTGCTTGAGGCCGGTGAATTTCGTAAATCCGTGTTTGAAGACGTTGGCTTTACATAATTCCTACTCGTGGTCTGTGGTTTGCTCGACCGGATCTTCGCGTAAACCTTGATCTGTTCCTTCAGCTCCTTGATATTTCGCGCCTGATACAAGTTGCTCTTATTCGCGCGATTATCTGAAATCCCCTCGATGAAATACTCGATCAAGCTGGAATCATCGAGACTGACTGGTTTGCTGATCTCCATCATTGCATACAGATACTCCCGCAGATCTTCGCCTGGTCGCTGGTGGCGCTTCCGAAGGACGCGGTGTATTTCCGGCGACGACATGGTGACGCCAAACTCCGAGCGCAGAGCGGATTTTAGAGAATCCCAATTGCTAACTCCAGTTTGGCTTCTAATAAAAAGTTTTGCTCCACCCTTCAGCAACTGCTTGGCGTAGATGAATTTCTGAAGGTCGCTCCACTGCACAGCCATTGCGTTGGCCTCAAAATCCTCCAGCCACTGCTCAAATATCGGCTGACCAGACCCGCTAAATTTGGACAACGAGTCCTCAATGTCTCGAAGAGTGAATGCTGGACGCTCAGCCACGGACCCACGTACGCTTCGCCTACTTGCAGCGTCATCGAAATCGGTATAATCGCCGTCGCTCACATTCAGGCCGAAGTGTTCCAGCAGCCTGTCCTGCAACGTCGCTTTCCGTCCGTTAGTCGACAAACCTAAACCGCCCAACTTTTCCCTAAGACCGTCAACCGTCAAGCTAAAAATTTCATCACGGTCCATGTCTTACAATATTATCAATTAAAATTTCTATTATTTAAATCGATGTGGTAAAATGTTTGAACTTCTCGGTATTTAACAGACATACATTTAATACTGATACACAAAATACTCAAGTTATTTGTTTCATTTAATTTCCTAATAATCATTTTTTCAATTATTTCTATTATTGTGTACGTGACTGTACCGCATTACCCTCGCACATGTTAATCTGTACACATAAAATGAAAAAATTGCAATTGCAAATACAAAACTACCCCCAGTGGCGTGAATAAAATAGCGCTAACTCGTATAACCAGCAAATTCGTGTATATATTGCTTTTACTACCTTAACATGTAAATATGTACGTAAGTATGTATACGCTAAAACTACTTAGCTGCACTGCGCTGTTTCATCCCTCGCCGCTGTCTTCAATTCTTCGACTTCGCTGTCGTATGCTGCTGCTCTGCCCACAATGCCGCTACTTCTGCCGACACTATTCGCTGCTGCTGTTGTTCGGCGCTGCCTGGCTCTGGCGCCTCTTCCGATGCTGGCGCTTCTTGCTTAGCGCTTTGTTAAGCGACGCAACCACTACTGCTTGGCGTATTTACCGTTTTATGCACTTGTTTATTNTTTGGCGTATTTACCGTTTGATGCACTTGTTTATTTGTCGCAATTTTTATTTTACCGCTTGCCGGCGATATTTGGCAAAAATAGCTGATTGTGTGGCGTGGCTAGCTCAAAGTACACCAGAACAGTTACTTGCGTTTTTGTCAATTTAATTTCTCAAAATAGTTTACTAAACGGATTGGGCGATTTGATGATCGTATGTAATTTTTAAATCACTGCAGTAAATGAAACTTTGGCTAGCATATCGCACGGCACACACAAAACACATATGTATAACATGTATAAACGCTTATTTGCATAGTTGTACGCACATTTTATTTTAATGTTTTGCTAACTCACAGGAGTGGATTTTATCCCACTTCTGACACCACTTGTAGGAATGGCCTTCCCAATCCTTTTAGTCTTTAATTAAAACGCGCATTTAATGTTTACAAAACTGGACGTTTATTCGCACACACACGGTTACATATAAATTTTAACTTTAAATGCTACGACTAGCTTAACAACTTCGCTTGAAGGCGGTCAAATACAATCTGCNGCTTGAAGGCGGTCAAGTACAATCTGCCGTATTGCTGTCCTTCGTTTGTCTTGTGAAGTCTATAGTTGAGTATGTGTGGTCCGTTCAATCCTTGTCAGTGTTGTATTCGTCGGTCAGTCTTAGTACGGGTCCCCACTGTCATACTTGTATGTTTGTATGTCGATGGCCGCCTACATCATTTCCCACATGAATTACAATCTCATATTATTATAAATTAAACTTTGTACCTACTTATACACACATATACCTATTACAACCAAAAAAAATAATAAAATAAAAAAATAAAAATTTTTAGATAATAATAATGAATAATAATCAATAAAAAACCAAGGCCGCCCCACACACACCGACCGAGCCAGGGTACAACGTACTCTGGTAAATAATACCTAAGGCTGGCCCTAAGGTAGTGCAGGCCTCAGGCCATAACTCTAGAATACCGCAACTTGTCGTCCGCCGAAGTGGGAGGGGGACTGTAACGTAGCTTTGCCTACGCCACAATAACATATTCAACATCACCCTAGCATACCTCTTACAACTGCACATAGGTACCAATATATGAACATACATACATACATACATACTGGTAGGCGTACACACAAACTAACATACCAACGAGACTAAAAGCATCCCTATGTACATACATACAGGCGTACATACGCATACGCGAAGCTGGCATGGTAAGCACATGCGGATTTCACAAAGAGCAACTTGGATACTCATGCGCACCAACAAATGGAAGAAGTTCACTGCGCAAAAGCCATAACACGAAATAAGCCCATTCACTTCTCAAACGGTTCATACAAAACCAGAGCTAAAGCTGCCAGCATGAACTCAACCAGCATCGGTTGTCCGTAGGTAAGCACGGAGCGCAGCCTGGGCTTCGGGCCTATTTGGGGCGCTCTTAGCTTTCCTCCTCGGAGGAAGACTGATTGGTTGAGGGGGGCTGCAAGGGGGGGAATACCCTCAGGCAACACCCCAAAACCATTATGGGCTAGACCCATTTTTGGTTACGGTCTCAAGCAGACAGGGGGCGAGATCCGTTTGGGCTTGCCCAATTCCGAACACCCCTGCCTGCTTGCGATACCACGCGGCTAGCGGGCGCTGAAGGGGGGAGGGAACCACCTCCCTACAGCGCCTAGCGGCCGCTAATACATACGGGGGGACTGGGCAACTTTTCGATGCCCTGGGGGACCGTACTAATCATCAGTTGTCCGTAGGTATCACCAATCTGGACCGCCAGCACCGCTACCGCCCTAAGGGCGACATTTCTACCGAGGACCGCCCGCTATTCACCGTCACCCAGGGCCGCCGCAATAACCGTTGCCACCATTAGGGCCCGTACCGTCGCTCTAATCACCGGGGGCCGCTACTATTACTGCCGCCCCAAGACTGACAATTCTATCGAGGACCGCCCGCTATTCACTGTCATCCAGGGCCGCCGCCATAATCATCATCACCGCTAGGGCCCGTACCGCTGCTCTCATCACCGGGGCCGCTATTACCACTGCCGCCCCAAGGCCGAAGCTACAACCGTGGGCCGCCCATCATCACCGAGGACCGCGAACGCTAACTATCGCCAACCAGGGCCGCTGTCACCATTGCCACCATCAGGGCCCGCTGCTCCTGTCTTCATTACTGGGNGCCATCAGGGCCCGCTGCTACTGTCTTCATTACTGGGGCCGCCGCCACTAGTAACACTCGCGTCACCGTACAATTACCCGCCGGATAATCTCCGACACCGACTGCCGACTCTCGCTCTTTACCTTCCGCTCTCCCCTGCACGACAAGTTGCCGGCCTTCTAGATNTTACCTTCCGCTCTCCCCTGCACGACAAGTTGCCGGACTTCTAGATAGCCGCGTGTGTGTGTGGGTGTGTTCGACTTAATACACAAGTCATTGTGTTTTATTTGGTGGGGGTTAGTGGGACCTTCGCTGGACTCTGGAGCGGCTGAGCATACCTCAGCCACCTCATAGTTTTATTTGAATGATTTTTCGACATAAATACAAAGAATGCAGTCAACCTTTGAGATATACCTTGCGGCTAAATTGCCGCGGCGCGCCCTCTCGTGTAACTTTCAAAGCGAGCCCTACGAAGGGTTAAATGAGTTGGCTTTGCTATCATATCCCTATAAGATGGGTAGCGGTTATTTATAAAGTTAACTATGTGGCCACACTCACTTGTGCAGGTGTTTGATCATTGGTTACCTTTCCCACGTTCTCATGTATCGGTGTAGGCTCTCTCTCCGTTGGTAAACACACATATTGGTTAAATAGTTTAGCAACTGCTTGTTAACAGCAACGTCGGTACAGAACGAGAAGACTGATTGATTTGTC